AAAGTTGAAGAAACAGGTTGCTTTCCAACCCAGGTTGCAAAGAGAAAGTTTCACTAAGAAAATTTGATACAAAGAGGAAAACAGAACATGATATTTAAGCAATCCGAAATCCGAATTTCAAAGGGCGCCTCGTGTAACGCGCCTCGTCGCGAATCCAAATTTCGTAACAGTAACCGACGTTGAAAACCGAAATTCAAACTGAGCCGTCGTTGAAACCGACTTTCTTCAACTCCACCGAACACTGCCTCCGGAATGGTTGGGAAAATTTCTGGCGGTTGAGAACGTTCTTCCCTCTCTCTCTCCTGAAACCCTCGTTTTCACCAGCTGCTCCTTACGATCTTCTCAGCTAGCTCCTCCCACCGTCAGAACTCATTGTCCAGCCTATTCTCTCCCACCGCCATAGGTAAGGCAATTTTCAAGTGTCCTGTTCTGTCGTTTTCACGCTCTAGAGTCGGTGCAGCGGCTAACCACCTCTAACAGAACCTACACAGAGGACTTTGACGTTGAATTCTTTTATACCTGCAGATCTGACAGGGGAACACTGGAGGGGGCTGAGGCGAGGAGAGTTGGACGGGGGGTTTGAGGAAGCTTAGGGAAGGTGTGGGCAGCTCGAGGGAACAGAGGGGGTGGATGCTTGGCTATAAGGGACGAAAGAGCAGCTATAGGGGACGGAAGAGAATTTAGAGTGGAGTAATAGAGAGAGAATTACAGATAAATCAAATGGAACAAAATCAAAATATTTTTGCGTCGACTAGTAATTGCATGTCGAGTTGATGCTGCGTCACGTTCAATGATTCAAAGCCTACGCAACACGTATTTTAGAAAGTTTGCTGCGAATCAGTTGAAAATTTGAGATCCGGAAACATCAAATATACATGATTATTAAAACATTAGATATTTTCCCAGTGTCTCTCCCATTGGTGCAGATAGCAGGAGGGCACTGCTACCTGCTCGGGTTGACCTGCGCCAACGAGCCTCACGGCAGGTGAGCGCACACAGTAGTAATGTGAGTGATAAGCTTAGTGGCGCGATAGTGTCTCTCCCAGTGGTGCAGATCGCAGGGGGCACTGCTACCTGCTCGGGTTGACCTGCGCCAACGAGCCTCACGGCAGGTCAGGCTAGTGCTCAGTTCAGTGCTGTGGTGAGCGTGAGACCAGTGGTGCAGATAGCAGGAGGACACTGTTACCTGCTCGGGTTGACTTGCGCCAAGGAGCCCCACGGCAGGTGAGGCTCGTGATACTCCCAGTGGTGTCCTGTGGTGAGATCAGTGGTGCAGATAGCAGGGGGGCGCTGGTAACTGCTGGGATTGACTTGTGCCAACGAGCCTTATGGCATTTGAGCCTAGTGATTCGCGCAGTGGTGTGATGAGCCGTGGACAGAATGGTATTGGCCATGGTACAGAACGGTGCAGATAGCAGGCAGGAGGGGCACTGCTGCTTGCTCGTGTTGACTTCTCTGCCATGTCCTGTGACCTGTCATCCATGTGTGCTCGGCTGAATGCTAGTGCTCGGCTGAATGCTAGTGCAACAACATCAGCTGAATTATTGATCGAAGATGGGCTTAAAGAGAACGGTGTTTCTTAGTTGGTGTTTGGAAAATGTGTGTAGTGGTCACACTTGTATTAGGACGGAGTTGTGTGTAAGCTTCCCAATTCTCCAAGTTATTACTACGCTGCACTATAGGATGGGAAGCTGTTCGTTTCGTTGATAAGCTAGGTTATTTGTCTCCCACCAGTTTCCTTCCTTCTCTCTCTTCTCCCCTCCTTTCCTCAGGTCTGTCTGGTCCATTGGCTGTGGTCTGGGCGGCAAGCTAGGCCACGGCACAAAGTACGACGAATGCCGCCCGAAAGAGATCGCACACTTTAAAACCCTAGAGTTCGCCCCCACAGCCGTTGCTGCAGGCGCATGGCATGCTGCTGCTGTTGCTACTGACGGGAGAGTTGCCACGTGGGGGTGGGGCAGGCATGGGTGCCTGGGGCATGGGAAGGACCAGTGTGAAACGCTGCCCAGGGTTATTGAGAGCTTGTGTAAAACGGAGGAGGAGGGGGGTAGGAGTAGTGGGGTGAGTGGAAGGGGCGGTGTTGGCGTTGGTGCTAATGATGCTGCTGGTTCTGGTGGTGCTGCCTCTACCTCTGCTTCTGCTGCTTCTCCCTCTGCTGCTGCTGTTTCTCCATCTGGAGCTGGGGCGGGTTTCAGCAAGGATGACTCGCACGGTTCACGTGGCAAGCTCCGTCCAGCTGTGAAAGCATGCCACGTGGCAGCAGGGGATTACACAACGTTTGTGGTGGGGGAGGGCGGCGAGGTGTGGTCGTTTGGGAGCGTGGAGAGCCCGTGTTTGGGGCATGGCGGCGGGTGGGAGAGGGAGGAGGAGGAGGAAGGGGAGGAGATAGACGATGCTGATCTTCATGATATCGTGGTGAGTAGTTGTTTTAGGGTCATGGGGACAAATGCATGTGTGGTTTTATTATGAAGACGAGGTGTGTTGGTCGTTTGGGAGCGCTGAGGTTACGTGTTTGGGGAATGGGGGTGGGGGGGGAGAGGGAGGAGGAGGAGGAAGGCGAGGAGATAGACAAAGCTGATCTTCACGACATCGTGGTGGGTCTTTTTGTCTTTTTCTTTTGGCCTCAAACGCCAATGCTGAAGCCTTTTTGGCACGGTGTTTTTGATCACGGTCTTCACGACATCGTGGTGGGCCTTTTCGGCACGGTGTTTTTGAGAATGATAAAAAACACTTTGAAGCCCTTTTTCGCACGTCTTGTTGCCTCAAACACGTTCCAGCTCCGCCCAGAAATGTCTGTTTGCCCTGTTTTCTATGTGGAATGTGCTTGTGCTGATAAGGGCTAAGATTTCATCAATTCATGCTTCATCACCCGCGCCCCCTCACTCCCCCCACCACACCACACACAATGACCTCTTCTTTCATCCCTTTCCTTCTCACCCCACACATCCACACTCCGCACACCCTCACCAACTGCGGCAGCACCAGCGGCGCTGTCGGGATGTGATGCAGCCGAGGCGGGTGTCTCTGCTGGAAGAGCGAGCTACCCACCCCCCTGCTCCTTTGCCCCCTCACTCTCACTTCATCCCCCTCTTTTTCCCCAACCCTCATCAGTTGCGGCAGCACCGGCGGCGCTATCGGGATGTGATGCAGCCACCCGCGGCGGGTGTCTCTGCTGGAGGAGCGAGCTACCCACCCACCTGCTTCTCTTACCCCTCTTGCTCTTCCCTCTCCCTTACACTGCCCACTCCCCCCACATTCTCCTAGTTGCGGCAGCACCGGAGGTGCAACCAGGATGTGATGCAGCCCAGGCGAGTCTCTCTGCTGGAGGAGCGAGCTGCCCAACCCCCTGCTCCTCTACCCGCTGCCCCTGCTGCCGCTCCTGCTGCTAGTCCTGCTGCTGATGCTGCTGATGCTTGTGCAGCACTCGAGGCTTCTGCCAACCCGCTTGTTCCTGCTTCTGCTGCCACCCCTCCTGATGCTGCAAGTCCTGCCGCGGCCACTGGTGTTGCTGCCACACAGCTAGGCCGGGGACCTGCCGGTGCAAGGGGCAGCGTGAGAGGGCGGTTTACGTGGGGTAGTCTGCCCGCTTCTGCCACTTCAGGACGAGGGAGAGAGTCTGCAACAACTCCATATGCTGCTGCTGATGCCGCCACTACTTCTGCTGCTAATACTACTTCTGCTGCTGCTGCTTTTGCTGCTGTTGCTGATGTTTCTGGTCCTGCTGAGCACGCCATTTCTATAACACCGGTAATTACCAGCAGCGCTGACAGTGGGAGTGGGAGTGGCAGTGGCAGCGGTGGCGCTATGGCTGTGAGTTTGAGTGAGTGGATGAGCAGTATAGCCTGCAGCAGCAACTCTGGCCCGGATAGCCCCTTCGGCAACAGCAGCAGCAGCACTAACAGCAACAGCAACAGCAGCAACAGCAACGGAAATGGCAACAGGAGCACCAGCGACGCTGCAGCCGGTAGCAGCAGCAGGAGAGGTACAGTGGTGCAGATAAGTACATCGAATGCCGGCCACTTTGACGCTCACATGCTGGCACTGACCAGTGATGGCAGGGTGCTGGCATATGGGGGCGGGAGTAAGGGGCAGCTGGGGGCGCCCCCTGCTGCAGGGGATACCTCTTTCCCCCAGTTCGTGAAGGGGCTGCTTCTGTGAGTGTCATTGCCTGGAAGAGTGGCGTTGACCTGCGTTGACTAGAGTTGACCAGGAACGGCAGGGTGCTGGCTTGTGGGGGCGGGAGTAAGGGGCAGCTGGGGCCACCCCTGCTGCAGGGGATACGTCCTTCCCTTAGTTTGTGAAAGGGCTGCTTATGTGAGGGTCTTGGGCTGGATGAGTGCTGTTGACCATCGTTGACCAACGTTGACCAACGATGGGTGTTGCTGACATCTGTTGCTGGCGCTTTGTGCCAGCCAAGAACATCGACCATCATTGACTGGCCTTGGATGGACTGAGATTGCAGGGGACAAGTGTGTAAGCAGTGCTGCACAGCCAGCCACAGGAGGTTCAGGCAGAGAGCCTCTGTGAAGAGATGGTGGAAATGGTGTCATCACAAAAACCCCCCTATTAGATTGGTCAATATTTGGACCAATTTTGGTGTTTCCGTCCAAAATCGGGCCATTATTGGTCTCATTGTGTGGACCAATATTGGTATAGTTGCTAAGATGAAGTTTGGGCTATTTTTGGCCAAACTTTAGATGAGTTTGAGGACCATTTTTTTACCAAATCTACTCTCAGCTTTAACCCAAGTTGGACCAAACATGGTCCCAAACTAGAGTCTGGGTGGGCCCAATACAAAACTGCCATTTGCATGAAATTTCATTTTAAAAACCATTTTTATTGCAAAAACAAATTACAGCATAATGTACCTCCAGATATAGCAAAACAATACCGAACGACTGTATTGCTCCTACACTACCACATCCTTCTACTGAGGCTACTGCTAGTTGCTGCTTCCATACATATGCCCCTGATGCTGCTACTGATTGTTGCTGCCAGTGCTATGCTCCTCCGCACCTGTCCCCCTCCTGCCCCTGCTGCTCCGCACCTGTCCTCCTGCTGCCCCTGCTGCTCCGCACCTGTCCCCCTGCTGCCCCTGCTGCTCCGCACCTGTCCCCCTGCTGCCCCTGCTGCTCCGCACCTGTCCCCATGCTGCCCCTGCTGCTCCGCACCTGTCCCCATGCTGCCACTGCTGCTCCGCACCTGTCCCCATGCTGCCACTGCTGCTCCGCACCTGTCCCCCTGCTGCCACTGCTGCTCCGCACCTGTCCCCCTGGTGCACCTGATGCTTCGCACCTGTCCCCATGCTGCCCCTGCTGCTCCGCACCTGTCCCCATGCTGCCACTGCTGCTCCGCACCTGTCCCCATGCTGCCCCTGCTGCTCCACACCTGTCCCCATGCTGCCACTGCTGCTCCGCACCTGTCCCCATGCTGCCACTGCTGCTCCGCACCTGTCCCCATGCTGCCACTGCTGCTCCGCACCTGTCCCCCTGCTGCCCCTGCTGCTCCGCACCTGTCCCCATGCTGCCCCTGCTGCTCCGCACCTGTCCCGTTGCTGCCACTGCTGCTCCGCATGTCCCCATGCTGCGGCTACTAGTTGTTACTGCCACTGCTACGCCCCTCCGCACCAGTCTCTGTGTTGCTCCTGCAGGTTGCTATTGCGACTGCTACGCTACTCCGCACCTGTCTCCCTGCTGCTCCTGCAGGTTGCTATTTCCACTGCTACGACCCTCTACACCTGTCTCCATGCTGCTCCTGCAGGTTGCTACTGCCACTGCTACGCCCTGCACCAATCCCCCTAGTGCTGCTGCAGATCTCTGTGATTACGGGTTTGGGGTGACAGCCCGGGCTGGTGCAGGTCGTGCAGCCTGTGCAAAGAGGCATAGGGGACGGAAGGGGACGGAAGGAAGGGGACGGATGAGATAGGAGGAAGGGGACGGATGAGATGGGAAGAAGGGGACGGATGAGATGGGAAGAAGGGGACGGATGAGATGGGAGGAAGGGGACGGATGAGATGGGAGGAAGGGGACGGATGAGATGGGAAGAAGGGGACGGATGAGATTGGAAGAAGGGGACGGATGAGATGGGAGGAAGGGGACGGATGAGATGGGAGGAATTCAGCAATGCTGGTGCCACAGCAAGATCTTGGTGCCACATAAGCAAAGTGTCGGTGCCATATCAGCAAGGTTTTGGTCCTAGGGATGACTTACCTGCACCCTGCTGACAAGGGTCTCCATGTCAGAGGCGTCGATGTAGACGCCGTTGGGGAAGTTGAATGTGTTCGTGTTGCTGGCGTATGGGACACCATGGTCAATGACAGCGATCTCGACCTCTCGCTTCACACGGGTGCACATCTCCTCGTACTGGATCCGATTGTACTCCCAATTGCCGCTCAACTTCCCATCAGGCGCGTTGTTGAGGATTGGCCACTCAAACTGTAGGAATGTGGTGGGTATGAGGTGGGAATGTAGTGGAATAAATGAACAGAAAAAGGTTAACACAGCACTAAATTGCTCATCGCACACGTGGCAACAAACATAACAACATGCCCATAAACTCACCGCATATAGGATCCAACCCAGCTGGCGGGTCTTAATCTTCTCGGTATTGACCCCACGACGCGCCAAAGCCAACTTGATGGACACCGAGAAGATGAGGCTGCCGAAAGGGATGAGGAGCTCCCGATGCCATGCCAGCCCCCTCTCCCCTGAAATGGGATTGCGTGGTCATAGGAAACAAAGGGATGAAAGGTGCTGACATTATGGTGACTAGAGGGCAACCGAAAGGGGCAATGTGGAACAAAGTAGTGCTTATAGAAATTATTGCTACACACATAACAACAACTGCGGGATCAAAAGCTTCATACAAACTCACCATCCTTGTAACGTGCGATGAGCTCCTCATCCGTGTAGAACTCGAGTGGTGCAAGCAGATCTGCTGGTAACCTCCCCAAGTAGCACCTGTTCGCCTGCCGACCCAACGCCGTTAGTGCCACCTTTCTCATCCAGGCGTTGATAGAAGTCCTAGTTGAGGACAGCTGCTCGAAAAAGACCCCTCTGGTGCTGGCATCGTTGTGCTGAAAGAGCACACGCAACGAGGCCAGAACCTGTGGCGACACAAACTCGCTAAACCCATGATCTAAGGCCTCCTCCGCAGATGGGTAGAACTGAATCATTGAAGCTTCAATGTTGAAGCAAAGATGTGTTGCTACACGCCTAGACAATTCCTGTAGATTGAAGGGGGATAGGGGAGGTGGCAGATATGGAAGGCAAGCGGTAAGGGTTTGCAAGTGGCTATTCGGGTTGAGGGTAGAGGGCGGAGAAGAAGTGGGGAAGCAAGTGGGGTTTCGGGTTGATGGTAGAGGGGGCAGACAGAGCATAAGTCATAGTTTAGGTAAAGCCTCACCTCCCTAAACCTGGATGGGAAGCAAGTGGGGTTTCGGGTTGAGGGGAGAGTGGGCAGTCAGGCAGAGGGGAGTTGGGGTTTAGATAAAGCCTCACCTCCCTAGGCCTGTATTTAGGGTAGCAGGTGGGGTTTCGGGTTGAGGGGAGAGTGGGCAGGCAAGCAAGAGGGGAGTTGGGTTTTAGGTAAAGCCTCACCTCCCTATGCCTGGATGGGGAAGCAAGTGGGGTTTGGGGTTGAGGGGAGAGTGGGCAGGCAAGCAGAGGGGAGTTGGGGTTTAGGTAAAGCATCACCTCCCTAAACCTGGATGGGAAGCAAGTGGGGTTTAGGGTTGAGGGGAGAGTGGGCAGGCAGGCATAGGGGAGTTGGGGTTTAGATAAAGCCTCACCTCCCTAGGCCTGGATTTAGGGTAGCAGGTGGGGTTTCGGGTTGAGGGGAGAGTGGGCAGGCAAGCAAGAGGGGAGTTGGGGTTTAGGTAAAGCCTCACCTCCCTATGCCTGGATGGGGAAGCAAGTGGGGTTTGGGGTTGAGGGGAGAGTGGGCAGGCAAGCAGAGGGGAGTTGGGGTTTAGGTAAAGCATCACCTCCCTAAACCTGGATGGGAAGCAAGTGGGGTTTAGGGTTGAGGGGAGAGTGGGCAGGCAGGCAGAGGGGAGTTGGGGTTAAGGTAAAGCCTCACCTCCCTATACCTGGATGGGGAAGCAAATGGGGATTCGGGTTGAGGGGAGAGTGGGCAGGCAGGCAGAGGGGAGTTGGGGTTTAGGTAAAGCCTCACCTCCCTATGCCTGGATGGGGAAGCAAGCGGGGTTTATTGTTGTGGTTAGGAGGTGCCTGGATGGCACAGAATGTGTCAGTATTAAGGAAAAGCTTCAACTCTCTAGTTCCAAGCAGGGGAAGCAAATGGGGCTTATGATTGAGGGGAGAGGGGGCAGACAGGTCGAGCAACAATCTAGGAAACGCACACACAGTGTATCACAGGGAACGCACCTTGAAGTCGACTACCGCTTTGTAGACGATTTCGCGATGGTTTGCCAGGGGACTATCGCTGGAGGGAAGGCCTTCCGACGAGCTGGTGCTCGGGCCAGAATGAGGAGGAGTTGCTGCAGGCGCTCCGATTGGGACGGATGGACCAGCACCCCGAAGTATGGCCGACAGCATCTCGGCGAACCTTGCCATCACGCGTCGCTCGAATTGGTCAAGCTCCACGTTTGATACACCACCATGCTCCTGGCGGCGATCACAGGATGCCGCCACAAACGGGGTTTTCTTGACGGGGACGAGCTCATAGCGCTTGGTGGCTTCAGTGATCACCTTCACCGGTGGTGCAGCTCCAGAGTACTGATTGGTAGCTGCTGATTGTATACGGGACGGAAGAGATGGAGGAAAGGTGACTAAGGGACGGGTCAGAGGTGACGGCAGGGATGGGATGAAGGGGACGGCAGGGATGGGATGAAGGGGACGGCAGGGATGGGATGAAGGTGACGGCAGGGATGGGATGAAGGTGACGGCAGGGATGGGATGAAGGGGACGGCAGGGATGGGATGAAGGGGACGGCAGGGATGGGATGAAGGTGACGGCAGGGATGGGATGAAGGTGACGGCAGGGATGGGATGAAGGGGACGGCAGGGATGGGATGAAGGTGACGGCAGGGATGGGATGAAGGGGACGGCAGGGATGTAATGAAGGTGACGGCAGGGATGGGATGACGGTGACGGCATGGATCGGAGGAAAGCGACGGCAGGGAAGGGAGGAAAGCGACGTGACATCAGCAAGCATGCCACAAATAAAAAGATGTACCATCCCGCAGTGCTATACAATGCGGCAAAAGTCTGACCTTTGGTTTTTGTGTTGGCCTGCTTAGTGGTCGGTTTAGCCCCAGCGCCTGCCTTGGCCTTTACGCCGCTGGTCCCAGCGCCTGCCTTGGCCTTTACGCCGCTGGTCCCAGCGCCTGCCTTGGCCTTTACCCCGCTTGCCCCAGCGCCTGCCTTGGCCTTTACCCCGCTTGCCACAGCGCCTGCCTTGGCCTTTCCCCCGCTGGTCCCAGCGCCTGCTGCCGTAGGAGTTGACTTCGGTTTGGCCGACACTTCACCGGTGTTCTGCTTTTTCTGCGCACCGCCAACCACCAAGGCGAACTCCCGTTTCGACTTCCCACCGAGAATACTCTCAGTCGCCAGAACTTTCTCCTTTCCCTTAGCCGATGTGACTGCATCTTTCCCTCGTGGTGGCTTAGCAGGAACCTTAGAGGGTTCTGAACGCGGAAGAGGTTTCACACCCTTTCTAGCGAGCTTCGAGCTGACAACGGGTTCCTTGATCTCATCGAGTGCCTTCAGCTTCCCAAGCAGCATAGAACGTTCCTCAGCCACAGCCTCATCCTCCATGTCTTCGTCATCACCGTCACCCTGCTCTTCCAGCATCTCGTCAAAGCTAGCCTTCCTCGTGATCTGAGGCTTGTGCGCATCCGCACCTTCCTCCACTTCCGCCGAATCGCCTTTCTCACTTCCCTTCTCAGCCTCGTCCTCATCCCCCTGCCCTTCCTCAGACTCCTCGTCCTCCTCTTCCTCCGCCTCGTCATCCTCCTCTTCCTCCGCCTCGTCATCCTCCTCTTCCTTCGCCTCGTCACCCTCCTCTTCCTCCGCCTCGTCACCCTCCTCTTCCTCCGCCTCGTCACCCTCCTCTTCCTCCGCCTCGTCACCCTCCTCTTCCTCCGCCTTCTCTTCAGCATCGTCCTCCGCCAAGTCTTCCTCTTCCTCTTCCGGCTCGCCGCCGGCATCGTCTACTGCCTCGTCCACCTCGTTTTCGCCCACGTCACCCGACTTGTCGTTGGCCTCAGCTTCGTCCTCGTGTTTCTGGTTGTCCACATCGTCGCCATCAAGGTTGTTCCCGGCAGACTTAACAGGATCAGCACCTTCTTCGGTAGCATCCGCCCCTTCCTCAAACCACACTTTCGCCTTTCGAGGGCGGCTGGACTTGCGAACCTCGCCACCAGGAGGGCCGTCACCGCTAGATGACCGGGGTTTGGGTGCAGCCTCCGTGCACTTCTTCTTCGTACCATTCTGCACCTTGCCTAGACTTTGCACGGGGCCACCCGTGGCAGTGTTTTTCTTGGTCACCGCCTTCGAGACCTGCAGTTTAGTCGACATGTTGCGCAACAGCCCCGGGAAAGATGATAGGACGTTAGAAATCCGGAACTGCAGGGACTAATTGTAGCGGAAGAGGGGATCGGTACTTACTACGTTTATAATGGACCCTTTTATAACAGGATATGTATCGCTTAAACGACCAAGGAACTCGATGAAGAGACGTACCTTTGAGCGATACGGTCGCAGTCACGATACGGGTCGCCAAGTAGCACGATTCCGGAACGGCTTGTTTCATGATGGGTCGGCGCGGCACGCTTATAACGATGGGGTGGTGGATGGCGTGAGCGGCGCCGGGAGTTGCCATGAATGGAGGCGGTGGTGAGTGAGATTATGGAGCTCTCACGGTACTGTCACGGCTGAGGGTAAGACAGTGAGATGCACATCGATACGTGCAACAATGCGCGGCCGTCTAATGCGGACCGACGGTAAGAAAATGAGAGCGCGACGTCGCGGATATTAGGCACTGAAAAGCCGCGCCGTGTTGCTGACTGAGGGGAGCATGAGTTAGTCTCTGAAAAAAGAGGGGGGAAAGGTGACCGGACCTAAGCCAACGGGAAGGAGTTGGTGTTCCTGTGTCGTGACTGCTATCACGAGCGGTAGCTTGAGACCACAGCATCGTGTGAGACGATGCTCGCTCAGACTCTGCCAGGCGTTACCGTGGGCTGTGCAACGAGGTTCACGCGCTCACGTTGGTTTTGTACAAGACGACAAGTGCGACCTTGCCCACTGTCAAGATACTAGCAATGGGTAGGCTTAGGAGCCATGGTTGAGTTCGAGTAAGTTTAGGAGAGTCGAGAAATTGGAAGAGAAGAAGTGGTTTCACTATAGAGCGAGCAGTACATATAGGCAAAATGAAAGGTGCACCACCAAAACAGAACATTGTATAACTACAGTAATCTACACTACAGGCAGTTACAAAACAATATATAAAACTATATATTATTCTGACACCCACCTGACAGCATTGCGGTTTACCGCCACAGCGTGGCAATTCCACACTGTTTAGTTTTGTTGTTTTCGAATTCTGTAGAATATTTTGCCACCGAATTTTTATTTGTTACGGTAGGAGCGTTTGGGAGTCCGTCTCGCCAAGATTGTAGTATTAGGTGAGTAACAACGGTTGAGTGTGAGGCTCCTAGTTACGCCCTGTTTTAGTTAAGTCGAGTGTTTCACGCTGTTTCGAGTGATGCCTTGTTTCGGCTGTTTCGAGTACTGGCATGTCCTCCAAATGAAAAAAAAAGCCACGAAAATAAAATAAGGATAGACTGAGTGTGGTGAAGCAGGTTCACCGTACTGTACGGTTGCACCAGGCTTGGCACATTTATTCGCGCAGCCCGTAGCACCTCCAAAATATCGAGCTTAGACGGATGTCATCGGTTGGATGAACAAATGGCTGCTTCCCGACCCCACCGAAACTTAGCGCTATACGTGCAGCATCCGCGTTTCTCACTGAGTAAAATTTTACAGACAACATTAGCTGGAAACGAGTGCCAACTGGCCACGTGGGAAGTTTCGCCTACTTAACAAAACTCCAAATGCATTGCAGTTGTCCTTGTCTTGTTTCTGTCGAAAGCTCCCGTGGCGTTTTCGCCACAACATTTCGCTGCCCATCACGCGATGATGACTTCGCATGCCCCAAGTACAGTATTCCTAAGAGTGGCTGAGGCTACCGCAGTAGTCGCGGTGCTCAGTTAAAATATCGCTGGAACACAACATCTACGCTAGCTACAGGTTTCAGAAAAGTGAAACATATCGAAAACTACCGAAATTTCGGAACTTACAAGTGGTTATAAGGCAGTCTTGTCATTTTAAATAACAACAAACAAAACCAGTTGGCAACGGGAGACTGTGAACACTTTGAGGTAAAACCAAAGCACCAATTAAAAACGAGACTGCTCTGACAGGCAGCATAGTTCATACAGAAATGATACATTATGGGATCATTCTACAGAGACACTACACTGTCAAGTAGCTAAGTAATAAACCAATCATAAAATGGTGTTAAAGTTCTAGCAAGGCTTAGGAGCCATGGCTAGTTAGATCGAGTGAGTTGAGTTCGAGAAAGTTGAAAAGGAGAAAAGAGTCGAGAGAATGAGGGGTTTCACTATAGGTTCAAGGGTACAAATATGAGAGAACAAGCAAGAAAGGTGCACCACCAAATAGGAAAACGCTATAACTACAGTAACCAATCCTTTAGGCAGTTATATATAGAAAATATTAAATTATATTTTCCGACAAATGGCATAGTCTTAGATGTGACTAAAGGATGGATATGTTGAAGGTTCCTTCGTCACGGTCTGCATCGCGACGTCCCTGACAGCAATGTTTGGATTGTAGGGTAAGTGATATGTAATCGAGAGGGGGAATGACATAGTAACCATGATTTCCTACCCTATACATTTTGGATAGAGCCCATTATTTGTGGGGTTACTCTAAGTAGTGTTGTGAACCTTCCATCCCATTTTCAGCTCCTGCGGAGCACTCTAGGTTGGTTGTTTGGATGATGAGCTAGTGTAGCTCATGATGCTACCGAATGCTGTTCTGTACAAGTTCTGGGCAGGCTTATGGGGAAATGCGTCGATTGATAGCCTAGAAATTTTGGATTGGGATGCACTCCTGGGAGGATCTTATTAATGGTATCATGATCCTCCCATCCCAAAATGGGCCTCGTCGGAGCACATTTGGTTGGTCGTTCGACAAACGTGCTACCGAATGCTGTTCTGTACAAGTTCTGGGCAGGCTTATGGGGAAATGCGCCGATTGATAGCCTAGAAATTTTGAATTGGGATGAAATCCTGAGAGGATGTTAGTAATGGTATCATGATGCTCCCATCCCAAAATGGGCCTCGTCGGAGCACGTTTGGTTGGTCGTTCGACAAACGTGCTACCAAATGTTGTTCTGTACAAGTTCTGGGCAGGCTTATGGGGAAATGCGTCGATTGATTGCCTAGGCATTTTGGATTGGGCTGAACTCCTAGGAGGATGTTACCAATAGTATCATGAGCCTCTCATCCCAAAATGGGCCTCGCCGGAGCATGTTTAGTTGGTCGTTTGACAAACGTGCTACCTAAGGCTGTTCTGTACAAGTTCTGCGCAGGCCTATGGGGAAATGCGTCGATTGATAGCCTAGAAATTTTGGATTGAGCTTATTCTTTGTGTGGTGGAGTAAGTTAGTGCTATGAACCTTCCATCCCAATCTCAGCTCCTGCGGAGCACCCTAGGTTGGTTGTTTGGAAGATGAGCTAGTTTAGCTGATTTTGCTGCGATTTCCGCTGCCTTATGGGGCAAGGCATGATTACCTGCCCGCCACATATTGGATTGAGCTGATTCTTTGTGTGGTGACTCTAGTTAGTGCTATGAACCTCCCATTCCATTCTCAGCTCCTGCGGATCACCCTAGGTTGGTGGTTTGGAAGATGAGCTAGTTTAGCTGATTTTGCTGCGATTTCCGCTGCCTTATGGGGCAAGGCATGATTACCTGCCCGCCACAAATTGGATTGAGCTGATTCTTTGTGTGGTGACTCTAAGTAGTGCTGTAAACCTTCCATCCCATTTTCAGTTACTGCGGAGCACTCTAGGTTGGATGTTTAGAAGATGACATAAAACGCCAGATTTTACTGCGATCCAGGCCGTCGTATGGGGCAAGGCCAGATTTCCTATCCTAGACCATATTAGTCCAATAGTCAGTAGTCAGTAGGGTCGGTTAAATGAAACCATGGTTACATATTTATTGATAATGGGTTCAGTTAATATCATTGTTCAAATCTATGAATGGCACATTTTGTTATGCATACGTCTTATCACTTATGTGTGAGAACAGTTGAACGAGAATGGATGAACTATGAAATGAAGTGAGTACAAATATGAAACCCTAATTGGTTGTACCCCCTATGGGATACCCCACTATAGCCTACACAACAGCATAAGCTATAATGTTCTGACACACCCCCATAGGCAAAGTGGGGGAGAACAAGGGGTCACAAGACCAGTCAAGCAAAGCAAAGCAAAGCAAGCTCAGGGTGGATCACAAAGTCACCACACAGTCCGAGCACAGGGTCAAGGCCACACGGCCAGTTCACATGCAAGAGTACACACATATATATAAAGCTAGACAAGCAAGAGCAGGTATATATATATGTGAGAGTACAAGCAAGGTCAAGAGGAGAGCAAGTGAGGCAAGACGGACACAAGACCCAGCTGAGTGCAGAAGCGCTGATGATCACAAGGCGGAAGTGCCTTGGTGAAGACATCAGCAGTGTTGGCCTCAGAGGCCACGTACGCAAGCCGCAACTGTCCACGCTGCTGTAGCTCACGAGCAAGGAAGTAGCGGAGAGCAATGTGCTTTGTTCTGTGCTCCAATCGCTGCTCTCGACACAAGGCCAACATGGCCTTGTTGTCTACGTACAGGACTGGAGGAGAACGAGGCGGCTCTCCAAGGTCGGTCAGCAAGTAGGTGAGCCAGCGAAGCTCCTGTGCAGCCATGGCCCCGGCGTAGATCTCAGCCTCACAATTGGAGCCAAGAACAGAAGACGAGCGAGTAGCCCGCCACGAAACAGAGCCAGAACCAAGGCTGAAGGTGTAACCCTGTGACGACCGCTGCGTAGCCTGGTTGTCAGCCTAAGAAGCGTCCGCATGCCCAGTGAGGACCAATGGACTCCGCCCTCCAAGCACTAGCCCCATGCCCGACGTACTGCACAGGTAGCGCAACACCCTCTTCGCTGCAGCCATGTGCTCTGGTCGGTGTCTCCCAAGAGCAACATAGCGTGCGAGAATGCTAAGAGGGTATGCAAGGTCAGGTCGTGTGCAGGTCATCAGGTACATGAGGCAGCCAACAAGCTCTGGATACGGGCCACTCGACTCTACGGACTCATCCGAAGGCAGAGCTGAGAGCGAGTGGCGAGTAGACAGAGGAGTGGCCTGAGGCGAGGAGTACGTGAAGCCGAAGCGCTGAAGGACCTGCTGCACCATGTGTGACTGAGTCAGGGTAATGGTGCGGCGTGC